GATCTCGCCCATCCGCTGGATCCGTGGCCTCCGGCAACTTGAACGACTTCATGACCATGATCCCCGCCTCCTGACACTAGTTTCTTCAAACCGATGATGGAAGCCAGTACTAGAGCCAGCTTGCTAACGATCAAAGCCTTGCCAGCTAAAAGAGCTAACGCTCCTAAGGCCAATGGTACCAAAGTTCCACCAATCAACAGAGGAATAGCTAGCAGACCCCCCATATTCTTCTTCTTCTTACGGCCTGCAAAGAAATATAATCGAAATTTAACTAAACGAATTTCATGGTTTATATTAGAGTGCTGAAAAATTAATTTGGTACGAAAAAAGAATGTTTGTTGTATGAAAGACTGCAGCGGGAAAAAGAGTGGGCCGTACGGTCTACTGGACCGGGAAATCAGAACTGGAAACTTTCTTTTTTCGGATGAATGCTCTAACGAGTTGACACGATAAGACCAGTTCTAATGTCGTATATCGACAATTGTATAAATTCTCACCTTCTTCCACCAAACTCCGTTGAAGTTCTTCTACATTGGGCAGCTTCAATTTCAACGTATGGCTTTGGAAAAATTTCATCACCTTGTCGAAGATCATGGTATTCAACGCATTTTCTTTGTCGTCCAAAGCCCTAGGTAGCCCGGCCTCGATCTCCTGAAGAGATTTCGGTGGTTCCTCCGCGTTAGAGATAGGCTCGTCCTGAACGAAGGTAACACCGTCGGCAACGTTCAACTGCGTGCTCCTAGACACCCTGTCTACGGCCGACAGCAACCTCACTTTCAAACAAGAACTAATATCCTCGTCTGCGCATTCCTTGTAAATCTGGTACATCTGTCGAAGATCTCCAAACACGTTGCTATTTCCACTAGACCTTGCTGTCTCTTCATTGATGGAATTGGTCGTGGGATTAGTCTCGGCTGATCTAGCCGAAGCCATGGCCAGTAAAAAGGCCAGGTACACGGAACAATAAGCAAAATCTCTCATTTTGTACAATCTAAAGAACCTGGAAACAAAAAAAATGTCTATATATTCCAGAGAAATATCTTTCGATGGGAAGTCCTAAACTCTCGCACCCACTAAGAGGGAAATTTAGCAAGAAAATGTGCGCGAGTAGAAACTAACAGAACCTACTTCTGTGGACTTCTGCGTGGTATTTTGGGAACAAGCGTCGAAGCTTGTTAGCCACCGGTACTCGAGTTGTTTGACACTTTGGGCCGCGAGATGCGTGCTTACACAGAGCACTGTAACTGGACTGTCCGTAGCGGAAGCCCTGCCCTAGCTCTATATATCTGGTCAGGTGTACCTCCGTGGCCGGTGATATTCTCCCCACCGTGGCGGTGCGGCGCGTACGAATACCACCATTGTGGGAGAATTTTCATTGCCAAGGATCATTTGAGAGCGGAGACCGCGTCTCGCTAACCACCTGGGGTCCACCACAGGTAGAGAGCAGAGTTGCTCTCCGGATCAGTTCGGAATTCGCATCCCTCCTCTCCTACCGTCCCAGCCCCACCAACTCGCCATCGATAAAACCGACGATTCCGGCGAATCGTTTCGCTACTCTCGACCGGATCGTCGTCCTCGCCCTTGTCATTCGACTTCATCCGCTCGACCGGTCTGACCAGATCAGATAGCGTTTCTGATCGGAAGTTCGTGGCAACCAGGTGTGTACATGTCTTCTACACGAATGTCCTTCTACTGTGATTTTCCCTCGTGTTATCGTCGTGTCTCGATAAGCCTGAAATCGAAAGCATCACGGGAGAGATGGTGGTTGATCGACCTGATCCGCTGGAAGTATCGGATTAACCAGATCATGATACGCTCGTATGTTGTAATCACAAATAACTAGGTTCTTTCTTTCTCTTTCTTTTTATTCTATAGTAAAACGGAGGTATAACGATGCGCGTAATATATGTTTTGAGACGATACATTCTACATTTATGACACGAACAAAAATAGAAACGAAGCTGTGTCAATTAAAGATAACCGTTAGTCATTGCCAGCGTTTCAGCCGTCCTGGTTAGCGTTCCCAGCGGCTGTTTTCCCTCTTATCCTGCGGTACCACGCATCCTTGCCATCTTCGTCCTGGCTGATGGCGACCGGACTGGTTAACTGGGCCACACCAAGTGAAAACGCGTTACATGTGGTAAACACGCGTAGGCCACGGATCCTCGGAGGGGGTATCCTTCTCTTAATGTTCTGGTTCATGAGCGCAGTGAAGCATCGGAAAGCAGCGAGCCGGGAATGAAATTTCGGTGGGGAACTGGCCCTGATCCGCCTCGATTTCTTTTCGTTCTTTCTAGCTCGTTCTTCTCCCACGCTTGGCTACCGTTTTGATTCGATGAGTCGGTCGATGATTTGACGATTGTTTCAATGACTCAACGAATTGTATAATTCGAATGCTAATGAATTTTCGCGAATCTAACGAGGTCACTGATAGATGAGAAACAAACGAAGAAATCTCCGGTCAACAGAACTTAGTATGGTAAATTAATAAAATTGATATATTATGTCTCGTCACGAGTTCCTCCATCGTGTTCGCGTCACGTACGTAAAAATGATGTGAGAAATGGCGAAAGCGAAATGTCGCGAGCGCCACCTTGACATCGGTAGGAACCATGATTTCCGGTTCGACAAGCTAAAAGCGTATACACCGGCGACCCCATGATTTTCTGCATCGCCATGTTTATTAATGAAACCCCGTGTCGCGCGTCACTTGCTCGCCAATGAGACCGTCGTGTTCACTCGCATTTGGCCTTGCTCCGATCAGTGAACACGAGCATGCACACACAATCCACGTGTGTCAGTTTGCCTCTCATTATACGGTCGGTATGCAGGTTACCGGTTGGAAGTTCGCGGTGCATCCGGTTTCACTGTACCATGAGTAATCTATGCAGTAGTAATGAGGGTGCTTGGCGAAAAAGAGGTAAACTTTACGAGCCATTAAACGACCGCTGGCCGGAGCTAGGTCAGTAGCGACACGGTCGAGCGAACGCTCGCCATTATTTACTACAGAATGCCGTGAAATTGACATCGCAATGTGCCTCGATGTTACTAGACAAATGGAATGTCTCGTCGATCGATGGTGTCAGAATAAGACGAATTACTACGGGGAAATTTCCGAACTTGTCCTTTTTTCTTTTTTCCCCTTTTAAAAAAAAAAAAAAATATAATTCAGTTGCATGAAAGTACTTTCTACTGGTTTATCCGAAATCCTCTATAGCGGTCGTACTTGCTAGCAGCTCATTAAGTCGTATCTGGTTCGAGTATCAATGGATGCACCGACGCGTTCCTATAGTACTTTCACTCGTTTTCATAAATATCAAACTCGCGAGAGTCCTGTCACGTGACGTATGTTGCACGTAGAAGAAGATTTCTTGCCTAGATCGTTGGATCCGCGCAAAATTCCTCCAAGTGTAAGTATAAGGCATAAATAAAAGAGAATAAACGGACGTAACCGCAAACGATCCTGAAGAGGGTTTTACGTTCTCCGCATTCTCACACTCACGTATGTTGTACGTTTTCCTTTGGACAAGACGCAGCGCGCCGTTCGCCATCTCTTTATTATAAAGAACAAATGCAGGCAATAACAAATAGCACACGTCAAATGAATAAAATTAAATAAATACTAAATCATATTAGGCGCAATGAATAAATAACAAAGGCTCGAGTTATGCTATACATGGAACGAGTATCTCGTGGAGGCACTGGTTCGTCGTAGAAACAGAAGAGAATGATTCTAAGGAATTTCTAGGGAATTAATTTCTAGGAAAGAATAGGAAAACAGGACAGAACGTATGAAATATTCAGGTAGCGACGAGGATAGGAATAATAAATATACATAAAACAGAGAGCGGTAGAGTCGCGAAGAAAGGAAACAAAAGAAAGAATAAAGGGAACGAAAGGGAAGAGATGTTGAGAGGACGAGGAAAAGAGGAAAGTGAGGAACGTCGAAGAACAAAAATTTTTTACGAGATTCTTCATGCTTGTGATTGAGGTTGATGAGCGCGATAAGCCAACTCGTGAGCATCTTGAGGTAAACTCCTGGCCCAGCCGTGGCCACTGCTTCCGGAATAACCACCGCCATAATCAGCGCCACCGCCACCGTAACCACCACCATGGCCGTCATCGTGGCTGACAATGTGACTACTGCTGTGATGAGGATGCGACACAACTTCGTATGTCACGTGCTTTCCTCCGCTAGAGCTGAGCAGCTTCTTCAACCCAATGATGGCGGAAATTACAAGGGCGATTTTGCCGACCAGAAGAGCTTTACCAGCAATGGCGGCGATCGCGCCGAGAGCCAAGGGCAACAGGGCTGCTGCCTTCAGGGCCAGGGCCATCAGTAACGGACCAAGGATCTTTTGTGCCTTCTCTGCAAAGGAATTCGACGATCGTTAAGTGAACGGTGGTAACGGTAACGTTCGGTAGAATTTTGTGGGTTAATGTCCCCTTGAAACAATCGCAAGAATTTTAAAGCGCTGTGCCAATGTATATAACAATGAAGAAATTTAAATTCCTCGACCATCAAAAAATTTATGTTCTAAAAACTTAGAAGCATTCGATTTCTTCGTCGTTTGGGTAACGCGTTAAAGTTGCAGAACCGAGGAGCTCCTGGAGGTGGTGGCCGTTTTATTGGTAATTTTCTGGTCAGCCGCTCGCGGAAACGACGCTTAACGTAGCGTGACTACAATTTCTCATCGATTACGAACATACAATGTACGGAAACCGAATTAGTATTCTCATGAACACGGGAATACGACGTTTGAATACTCTGAATTTCTCACGAAGAGGCTGAAAACGTTTCACGAAAGAACACGACCCGACCTTTCTCAGGACGATACGCGCGGAGAGATCTCGAAGTAAAATAGGCGAAGGTCAAGGCGACGTACCCCGCGTACAAAGGAAAGTATGTCAAAAATCTCGCGCGGTGAGATCTCGAGAGGCCTATCTGTCTCTCTCTCTCTCTCTCTCTCTCTCTCTCTCTCTCTCTCTCTCTCTCTCTCTCTCTCTCTCTCTCTCTCTCTCTCTCTCTCTCTCTCTCTCTCTCTCTCTCTCTCTCTCTTTCTCTGCTCGCAGGTAATCGCATCTTCGTCGCTCGAGTCGCTTCAAGGGGAAGCGGAACCAGTTTCTCAGTGGGTCAACGTCTCGCGACCAGCTTCACCGGCTCCGTCGTCAGCGTTGTCATTGAATAGTGCCAACGACGAGGCTTGGGAGCTGGCACGGTGCTGTTGACTCTAACATCGAGTGAATCCCAATTACCCATGCACTTGTTGCGTTAAGTAGTGATCTGATTAGCCTATCGTGCGAACCCCGTTCAAAATACTCGACGATGCCTGAGTTCTTATAATTAATAGATAGCCTCTTAAGGCCTATTAAGAAAATACTTTGAGTTTGGAATAGATAATTGAGTTAATGTCAAATGAAAGAAGTATATTGTAAAGGAATTTCGTAATTTTATAAACTGAATAGATAGATTTAGCTGGAGTCGAAGCGAATGTTTTCAAGTGCTTTTTATCGCTAATCGATACGGTTGAGGGCTCGAGTTAGTTGGAGGATCAATTTATACTCACTCTTCTTGCCACGACTTTCAACAGCATTGTCGGTAAAGTCCTCGAAACTTCGACCGGCAGACTCAATGGCGCCAAGGATATCGGTTCCCTTGAGGTCGACTTTGACAGAGTGCGTCCTCAAGAACCTGCCCAGACGGTCGAATAAAAGGGTATCCAAATCGCTAGACTCGATTGATCTGCAAGAACACGTTAATCGATTAATGTCCATCAAAATTAATCAAATAAATTAATCAAGTAAATTAATATAACGACAGAGACAACTTGGAATGTACCGAACAGACAGAAATATCCAAATCATATTTGAAAAGTATTCTACGAAACACAAAATTCCATTAAATCAAACTCGAGACTGATGTCCGCTTCTTAAATTTCGTGCAAGGTATATCTTTTCACGAATGAAAACCGACCTAGGTGCACCTTCCTCGGCGTTCGACGTCTTAACCACAGTGATGCCGTCCGTGAGCGTGATATCCTCCTTATCAACGAGCATCTTGTCCACGTACGAAAATACTTTGTATTTGATGCAATTGATCGACTCCTTCTTCAGACAGTCGCTGTAGATGGTCGCCATTAGGTCGTTTTCGTTTCCAGGTTTGTCATTTGCTGGCAGGGCTGCGGCCAGCACCGGAAGTAGCCACAAAATGGTCACAAAGTACTTGCTCATGTTCCTTGAGTGTCGATCGAAACGTACAAGGTAATAAAGAAAAAAAAGAAAGAGAAAGAGAGAAAGAATCACCACCGTGCGTCTACGAAAAAGTTCGAATCGAAGAAGGCGAAAAAGTTGCTGTATTATCCTTGATACGATCGCGCAGTGATGTGTCGTAGCCGATTCACGGTTGGAGAGGACGCCAGGATGAGCGTCGATCGAACCTCGTGTGTTACATCCAAAAGAGGTTGCTTTGCTTTTATACCGAAGTATCGCACGAGGGGAGACCTCGTGGGCACAGGCCACCGAGAGTTCGCGTTCGCGTTCGCTTACTAAGAGCTGTCTCTCTCTTTCTTACTACTTGTAATCCCCCCTATGTCCTCTCTACTTGCGCCTCCTCGCTCCTCTCTCCTACCCCTCTCTTCGACTCGAATCCTCGCAGGCCTCTCTACGAGGCTCTCCTTCCCCTTTCGTCATCCCTCTCCTCAAACGAATCTCGTTATTTCGGCGATGCAACAATTCTTCTCTAAACTCGAGGAGGAACAGAGTAAAACACACAGGACCAGGATACCGGAAATAGCCGCAGGGGAATAGAAGAGGGAGGCACTTGCATTTTCTTCCTCGTCGTTTTCCACCGTCAATGGCGCCCATGACTTTGGTCTCCTTGTTTCCTTCGTCCTCTTCTTCTTCTTCTTGCCGCCTGCAGCAGACCTACTTCGGCCTCCATTAAGGTTTGATGGTAGAAGGGAGGCTCCCTCCTCGGTCAAATGGAGATTCAACGAGGGAAATCTACGCGGTGGAGGTCGTGGGGAACACGAGCATACACGGCAGCAGCTCCCTCGTGATTTCTCGCACGACTTAACGTGTCTCTCTTTACCGATTCCTTCGATCGTAGCTATTATTATTAGCAGGAGAGCGCGATACCAGTGCTCGTCCACCGTACGTCCAATCCCTTTTTGCATGCGACAGAAGAACTCGTAAATAAACGGTTGACAGCGAGAATCGAAATCATGACAAGGAGACTAGGACGTTTCTCCTTTAATCGTTCCTCGTGGTTATTTTCTCCGGATGTCATGGGATGCACGAAACTTCTTATCGACCTATTTTAACGAACGTTTATGGTTTAACATTCTGGGTAAATTGCGTTGTCGCACGGAGATTCGGAAATGTTACAATCTTTCGGAATAGCATGGCACGGGCTTTGAATCGAAGTTACCTAGACTGGTATTGGGCTGTTTACAGTTACCCGAAATTTAATGTCGTTAAATTCTTTCCTTGAAACATATTTCTACGTTTGGGTGCTCTCTGTCCGTTATTCGTCGGCATAATTTACTTTAGGGATCCTAAGTTCTTTCTGTAGCTTCGTAACATCAAATTACGAGTTAGAAATATCGCCTTACCATTCCCATAGAAAACTACGTGTGAATTTCGTCACTGTTCGTCCGAATGCAAAAAGTATCGAAACGATTCTCATAGTAGGAGAATCGTTAACGACCACAGAGGTTGACGTGAATGGAGCATCGAAAAATTCATCGGCGAATGATGGACGCGAGATATTATCTCGGGAACGGGGTCGCTCACCCATTTACAACTGGGTCGAGTGCCGGGCGTTCATTTCGGCTGTCTCGTCTCTTTTTATCTCTCTCGTTCTTCCAACGCACCTGTCTTCATCTCACCTCGATCCATGTCTCTTCCCCTCTGGAAAGACGGTCTCCATTGGTCCAGCCGGTTTCGGGGATCAAGATCTGCCGATCCTCGAGAGCGAACGTCGCCCCGGGCGGAATCATCCACCTGACGCGGCGTTCACGACTCGCCGCGCTGACGAACGCGTGAACGTGAAGAAAAGCGAAGG